GTGTCCGAGGTTTCTCCTACTGCATTTGTCTGCTCCTGTGAACTTTTTATCCTGGACCGTCTAATACCACGATTAAAGGTCAGGATGACTCCCAAATTGTGGGGTGGGGAGGAAAAAAAAAAAAATTATATATATATATATATATATATATATATATATAGTGGTGAGGGTGGAATCACACAAGCAATTAGGTGTAGTAAACATTAATAATAATTAACTGAACTGGTTGCATTTATGCAAATGCCCTCTTTGGGAAGAGACAGAGAGCAGATCTCTTGAGAGCAGCTGCAGCGGGCTGCTGTATGTGGTGGCCAGCGCACTATTCCTTGTGGGTTTGCATCAAGAATGATGACATCAGAAGGCTCATTAAGGTGGCAATGTCGTGGGATGGCATTCACCGTGCCCTTGCCCACACCACCTGCAGTGTTGCCTTCTTGAGCCTAACTGAATATGATTCACTCCATGTCCAAATATTTTTTGTTTGAGCCATTAATGGGAATCTAAAGATAAAAAACATACCTTTGAAAGTGCAGTGTTCATCATTTGCAATATGGTCACCTCACATTCTGTCAAAGTAGCACACACATCTGACGGAAAGGCCAAGTAAGCTGCCTGCTTTCAAGCTTGTCTGACATTTGGCGCCTCTGTGGCAATTTGCAAGACTTCATTCTCCACTTGGCGAAACATTTTTCACTCTGAGGTTTGGCCCAGAGGAAGAAAACTCACAGTAAAGTTTGTGGCTCAGGAAGCTGAAGGACAAAATCACGGCCATCTTGTACAACTCCTCACACTTTCTCCATGACAAGCAAGTTATAACAGATGAGCTCTTCAGGTGTGGGGGCAGCATGGCTCAGTGGTAGAGTGGTTTTCTCCCATCTTGAAGGTTGTGGGATTGATCCTCAACCCTTGTGACCATGCTGCAGTTCTCCTTGAGCAAGATGTTAAACCCCCAATTTCTCCTGATGTGACATCATCAGTAGGTAAATGAGGAAATAGTGTTAAAACACGATGAGTATCAAAAGTTGAACAGCACTGTAAAAGTGAAATCCCATTTCCTGTTGCTTCTTTGTACTGACCACCTTGAGACTCTACTAGTGGTGTATTGAAGACTTCACCAACCAGGGACCAAAATTATCGAGACGAGAGAGTATCGCCACTGAGACAAGAAATGAAACACTACAAGCTAACTTGGCTGTAAAATTAATGTTTGCCTTAGCTATGAATGTTAGCAAAAAACAATTGAGGGACGAAAAGAGCTTATTTTTGCTCATTGCCATAGAATGGGATATTTTGATTGTAACTTTCCAAGGATAGTTAATTTAATGGTTATTTTGGCTGTCCTCTGTACTGATAAAAGTTGGACGTTATGCTGGCAATTTCTCTACGCAGCGCGCTACAGAATTTGCACATTACAGAGCATTTTCGCATACATAACACACTAATGAGTTTGTTGACAAGTAGAAAAAAAAAAATTAGAGGCGCTGCATCTCCAGTCGTCTTCGTCCACTCTCTGCGTGGAAGGGGCGTGGCACTCCAGGCGACACTGGGAATGCAGCACCTGCATTCTACGTTGCTCACTGATCAGAGTAACACTAGCCTGGTCTCAACCAGTCTTGTTCAAAAATACGGAGTTCGTCCTGTCCGAGACTGAAAAAAATGCCTTCGATTCGGAGACCAGACCAAGACCATTATAAAGAAGACCGATCTCCAGAAATACAACTTGAGACTCTACGGTGCCCGTGAAAGCCACATTTTATCAGTTGCACACACTCACATTCTTGCCTCTAATCTTTTGAATCCCACCAGACACACTGAAACATTATCTTTGTCATATTCTGCTTTGCTTTGTTTTTGACCTCTTGACCTCTTGCGCTCGCTCCATGTCGCGTTCCTTGTCCTTAAATTTGTTTTTTTGAGTATCTGTTCATCTAGCTTTGACTATTTCTTATGTTCGCATGATTAGACGATTATCATTTTGTTATGTGAATTTTCGGTGCGTAACTTTCCTTGCAATTTGCAAACGCGTTCTGTTTCTCATTTAATTTTCCTGGCTTTTTGTCACCAGCGATTTTTGTTAAACTACTGTTACGACTACTTTGTCGGTCTCTTGCTTTGCTTGAAATAAACACCTTTTGTTAGCGGTATTTATCTGAGTCTGCGTTTTTTTTTCGGATCCACACACCACCGGTCTGTGTTCAGACCTTGTCAATCTTTCTGTTGAAACAAAACGTACAATTTTGTATTCTAGATTTAGATCACATCTATACAGTATATCCTATTTATTTTTGTAATCACTAATGGTAAACGTAACTATAATCTCACACAGAAATTTCAGAAACATGGATGCACAAAAAAAAAAAAAGCTGAACACACACTGCATTATTGACACTCGCTGGTGTCATTATACTTAACATTTACTGCTTTTGGAGAAAGTGTATATTTTGTTTGAATACAGAAAGGCTCATCCAAATGAGGAAGGAAGACATTTCCATCCTTCAGCTTGATGCCACATTCATGCTCTGGTTGTCATGCCATCAAGACAGCGCTCCCCGTGCTTATGCAACACAACTTTCGAAGTGGCTCCTCACCTCATTAAGACTACTGCACTTCATGTCATGTCAAATCTACTCTTCCTTAATGCTGAAGCCACTGATGCGCTCTCGCACTAAGTGCAGTGGTTAAGTAAAAACATCCTGCATTGCTTCTGACCGCAAAGGGAAACATGACTGAACTTCTCTGAATAAAAGAACGGAGAGGTTTCAGATTGTCTATAGAGGAATCTCCTGCGGACTGGTTTGAAACATTGAATTACAATCAAGTAAGAATGCTTCAGAGTTCAGACATGCACAGAAAATCGTGTCCCTTCTTAATAGGCAAGAGAGTTATTCTAATAATTAAAGTCTATTGAAAACATTGTAGACACCAAGTTAAAAGTCCTACATGGCTATTTTGGTGAGAGCAGAGGACTGATGCGTGCTTCCTCAACCACATTTTTGCTGTATCAAAAAAAAAAAAATGTCACAGCTACAATGTTATGTGATTGTCTGGGTGCAGGAAGGCAGTGGATCAATCAAACTGACATGGAATAATGCAGTGGTCCATTGATTTACAGCTACCTCAAGTTTCTTTGACGGGCCATTGCGTGATTTAGATTTTTGTGCTTTGTGTCGTGACGGAACTTGACTTTAACACCTGCTGACCGGCCAAATGAGGGTGAATTTCAGCTAATGTGTATTGTATTGTATTGTATTGTATGCGAACATTGCCACTACAGCCACTTTGAAATGAATATATAGTATATTGATATAATAGATAAACTTTGATCTGATGATCAAATGATGAGATGTCTGTATAGTACTTTGTTTGGATGTGATGTGACTACATACAAATTATCAACACCCTTTATTCCTTTGTTTATCTTCACTTTTATCTTTATCTCTGACCTGTTCGACAGAATGCAGAACGTGGTTGCGCATGACACCTATTTTCTAATGACATGAATGAAATTTTTGGTAGTGAAAATGCCAAGTGGCAAGTAACTCTGGGAAACCACGACCCACAGTGGCTGGTGAGCAAAAAAAAAAAAAAAAACATCAAGCCCTGGTAGGGAGACAAAATTTGAGTTACAAGTGAGCTTCAGATATGGCACCGCTTGGGTGAAGTGGAAAAAAAACGGGGAGTAGCATTTATTGTTGAACGGTACAATCAAACACACTGCAACAGTTATCATGGCGCAGCACCGAAATACTGGAATGGTACACAGTAGCTTCACGTGCACACCTGTCGCTTACGAGCGATTTGTAAAATCCGAGCTCTCGCATGGACACCAATGCACAGTGAAAACATTTGGTGGGAGGAACAGGAGGCCAAAACTGATGTCCACGTGTGTCGACGAAGACTAATGCTAGGGTCAGACTAAACACATGTCGAGCTTTTCTGGCGACGCATTTCCAGATAGTCAATGCAGTTTCCATGCACACAGAGTGATGAAATAAAAACAATGTGGGACAACAATATCATTGCAATTTTTGGGGCCAAAGGTACACACAACACAGCTAGCTTCCTTTACCGTCCAGACCAAGACAAAAAAGGAGTAGGCTTGCTGACTTGGGAGCAAGGGGAATTTGAATTTAGCGTAGAGGTAAATTCAGGTACGAACTTGGTCAGGGAGAAAATCAAATTTATCATGACTTGCCAAGAGAATGAAGAGCCTTTATGTACAAAGAAAATATGCAATTTAACAATGTTACCTTGTACACACATAAACCCAGCAACAGGCTTTTTTTGGGGGGGGGGGTCGGGGGGGGGTCATTTTTTGACTTCCTCCTTACACGAGGAAGCGTCACTTCCTCGTGTAAGGAAGCCGAGAGTAGTCGAGTGGCGTATTCGGATTTGCTCAGTTTGGTCGAAAACCGGAAGCCGAGAGGAGTCGAGTGGCGTTTTCAGGTTTGCTTAGTTCGGTCGAAAACCAATTTTCGGTCGTAATCCGAGGCGTAAAAATCTCGAATTTTCTGGTCGAGAACAGAGATGTCCGAAAACCGAGGTAGGACTGAACATGTTTTGCTTCGTCTTGGTCCTGACAGACAGTCCAGGGGTAGCCTGCCTCTGTACCATCAAATTAAGGCCAGGAGACTGATCAAATTTCAGAATTTAGCGATTACAATAAAAATTATGCCTCAACTTTGTACTGGTATTACATGTTTTGCTTTGTCTTGGTCTCACCCTCTCACCCGAAATGATCTGGGATGGGCTCTAGCTTTCATGCAACTCTAATCAGGAAAAATGTTACAGAAAATGCATTAGGGGACATTATTACTTTGCAGTAGCCGAGATAATTTTTCTTATTGTGGAAACTGAAATTTCTGCTACATCTCCAAAGAGATTTTCCTTCACGTCCAACTTTTATACAACCAACTAATCAAAGCAGATATGACAGCAAACACAACACTAACACTCCACCAGAGCTAAAAGAAAATGTACAAGAGAATAAAACCTCTGACCTTGGCAAAGAGGGCTCCTTTGGCTGCCAGTGCATCCTCTCCTCTTCCATTGGGGTAGCACTCATAGCGTGCATCCAGAATTGGGTAGCGACTAGCCAGCAGCAAGCCACTGTTGAGGAATTTGAACCTGGAACAACATCCCTTCCAGCCGTACCGCCCAACATCACTCAGCACATAAGGAAAGTAGCGATGTAACTGCTGCCGCAGTCGTGTTGTTGAACTATGGTCAAACACTTCCTGAAGGGCAAGGAAATCCAAGTTGGCAGGAAAAAATGCAGAAATGTCATGATCGAATGCCTCATCTCCGTGTCGGCGCTTTCTACCGGGGCGTTTAAATATTGAGGTGCGAGGCACGTGAGAGAGGGTGTTGTTCGACGATATCATTACGCAACCATCGCTTCCTTGGTACCGAGTGAGAGATTCTCTTGAGGCGGTCATGCTGCCCACATCTCCTCCTGCCCGCTCCCCTGACTGATGGTTCCCTGTCTCTGCCTCCTCTGGATGGGGGTCTGGCTCAGGGGCACTGATGCTGATTTGAACACCTGAGGTGTGAAGTGGACACTCTGGTGAGGTTTTAGCCTGTGCTTCCTTTCCGTGAGTGGGGCAGTCATGATTAGCATGTGTCTCTTTTCCGTGCGTGGGGCAGTCATGATTGGCATGTGTCTCCTTTCCGTGCATGGGGCAGTCATGATTAGCATGTGTCTCTTTTCCGTGCATGGGGCAGTCGTGATTACCGGGGCCACTATGTGCCCCTGTAGAATGCATTGGACATTCTGGAACCTGCACTAAAGCATGTAAAGGGCAGTCTGAGCTGTTGTTGGTTTCCACACAGTGTAGGGGGCAGTCCACTGTTGTGTTTCCTGCATCTGAGTGAAGGGGGCATTCAGAGGTTCCGTGAACTACTGTCGATGGATGAACCGGGCAGTCTGTAACGCCTGCAGGGTGAATGGGACACTCGGCGAGTGGCTCATTTTCAGTGTCTGCTGGGCCATTCACAATGTGTGTCTGATCTGGCCGCTGGTCCAAGGAAGAGGTACGGCGAAAACCTGTGGGTAGGCTGCTGAAGGAGGCCGCACTAATGGTTGAGACACACCAAGAGAAAGAATGACAAACATTAGTGTATCTTAGACACATAACTTACTTTTCTGTAAAAGTAAACCTGAGATCGTCTACATACCTGATGGAAGTGTTGGTTGGTGAATCGATGTAGATTTTAATCTGAGGTCGACATGCACCATTTCTGATCCTCTTGCCCACTTCCCGTGCTCTCCTCTGTGTGTCCGAAAGATTGTTGAACCTGGCCAGAGAGTCGGGCAGTAGGCAAACGTTGGCGCTGCAGAAACAGAAGCTCTTGCCCTGAGGTCTCCAGTCCCTGACCCCAACAAACCCTGGTGCAGCATCGCCTTGCTCAGCTTGGCGCTTTTCTAGTCTGCACAAGACAGGGAAAACTACATCAACAAACAGACAGGTTTGATCTTATAACCTTTACAGTATCCCACAAATACTATACCAAATACTTTTTTGTTGTCTCATTTTTCTGGTAAAAGTTCATATCAAGGCTGATGTGTCATTTGTTGAATTTTGACATTTCATAAACACGTGATTTTTTTTTTGTATTGTCCCCCATTCAGTACTAGCACTGTTGATACACAACAACAAATTATTTACATTGTTTTTAAAAGATTAAAGATTGAAAGACTTTACTGGCAAACATTTTACACCGATTGCTTACCTCGATTAAACAGTCAGAGTCACAGAACAGTGAAAACGAGATGACTGTTACTTTGCTCTTATTATCCAATTGCTAAGATCTCTGCATAATGAACTTGTTTCACAAAGATTCATGTGAAATAAAATAATGTTGTGGTTGCCTGTCGCTCCAAATTCGTTGACTAAATTAGCCAGTTGCATTGGAACTCTGAAGAGATTTAAACCAGCAATGTCACAGTGATCATACAAAATCGAAAGTTTTTGGTACATCCTTTTACTTTGCAAACTATAATAACGAGCTGAGAGGAACACAAATAGGGTACTTGACTTGAAAAATGTTATGGGGTTCACAATAGCATTAGTTGGTATGCAACTCACACGATGCAGTGGGTGTAGTATTACAAAATACCGACGTTATTGTGTGACTCTGCATGTTAAGCAGTTGACCAATTAGTAGAAATAGAAATGGAGATCAACACTAAGGGAGAAATGTGTGACGGAGACAACTTACAATACACTAAATGTGCACATTTTCCATACCTGTGGTAGGTGTACAGGTAAGGTTGACGGATGGCCTGCAGAGGAGCCCAGATGACAAAGCCCAGCAGAGCGAAAGGCAGAGAGGCGAGGAGCAGGAGCAAGTAAAGAGGCGCCATTATTAGGACACACAAAGTGAGGAGGGAGCACGGGTCCTGAGAACGCTGGCGCTTCTCGAGTGAAGTAGCCAGGCAGGAGGCCAGGAGCTGATCCAAGAGCCAGTAACAGGGGAACACCAGGCTCCATGACAAGCCATCCAGGAAGTGAAGACAGGAACTGGAGTAAGGGGTGATGTGGAGGACCATCTCTCTCTCTCTAATTACAAACTTCTTTCACTTTATTCTCACACTCTGATAAATGACTACAAAATAATTAGTTCTTTACCCAAGCATCGATCTGAAAGAGTAAAAGCCAACAAAAATCTTGAAAGGTCCCTTTAAATTGGTAAAAGCTGCACTACATGATTTGGACTTTAATGTTTATAGGTTGTCTTCGGCATTTATACCATCCACAGAAGTTAGTCTAGTCTGGTAGCGGGAGGTGGCCATGATAGGATCGTTTTCCTTGACGATGGATCTATTCTTGCAAGGGTTCCAGTGACCTCATGAGGAAGCCACTTATCATCACCATTTTCTCAGGACCTACAAATTGATAGCAGAGAGAGAGAGCAAGAGAGAGAAACAGAGAGGGGGAGGGGAATAAATGACATAATTCATATTTTTTCTGCATTTAAAAATTAATGCTGTGTGTGTTTTTTGGTCATAACAGGGAATCAGAACATTCCGTTTTGTATTGTACCATACATGTACATATGTATGCGAGTGTGTGTGTGTGTGTGTGTGTGTGTGTGTGTGTGTGTGTGTGTGTGTGTGTGTAAACATGTAGCAATTTTCAGCTCTCCAAATAACAACTGAAAAATAGGATTGTTGTATCTATTTTTGTAAGGTACTTAGTATTCATGATTTCTTCATTAATTTGTCCAATTCTATGTTTATAACTGGAATTATTGAACAAAAATGCAATGTAGTCGCTGATGGTGTAGTGGTACACACGCCGGACTTGCGCACGGGCAACATGGGATCGGGTCCCACTCAGTGAGAGTGTGAAATGTGGGTGTGAATGGTCATTTGCCATGCAACTGACTGGCGACCAGTTCAGGGTGTAGTCTGACTTCCACCCGAAGTCAGCTGGGATGGGCTCTAGGTGTTGAAAATGGATGGATGGATGGATGGGCAATGCAATTTCACTGTTTAAATCTAGCATCATATTTAAACACTGAAATTATGTGATTGATTTATTCAATTCTGTCTGTCAAGTTAAAAAAAAAGAACAAACAAACAACGAAAAAATAACTTGATAAAAAATAAATTACATCCTTTGTTTATTCTGCAGCACATAAGTCAAAAGGTGAACTTGTTCCACTTTTCTGTCAGAAATCATGCTTCATCTGCCAAGGGAGTGGCTCGTGTACCAAAGAAAAAAATGTTTGCTGTGACGGTTTAACCCAAGGGTGTCAAACTCATTTTTGTCGCAGGACACATTGTAGTTCCGGATTCCTTTGAAGGGCCATTATGGCTGTGAATTTTGTGAAACCATATCACATGTTTAACCAAATCCACATTTTACATACACAGCGAACAACACATAGATGGCATCATCAAAAATATTGTTCAAACATTCTAATTATTACATTATATATGAAAATTTGAAATTTTGATTCAGACTTGAGCAAGCATCATGGAAGTTGACATGCTTGAATTGCTTTCGCAGGCCAATAAAATGATGTGGCTTGCCAGATCTGGCCCCCGGGCCTTGATTTTGACACAGTGGTTTAACCCAACATTGCCGCGGCTCCCTTTGTGGAAGACAGAATCAAATGTGTCTGCTGGCAGTACATCTCTTTCACTAAGTACAGGATATGTAAAAACAAGAACAAAGCAAAACTTATACAGAAGCTGCATGAGGCCTGAATTGAAGCCAGAAGTCTTCAAAACAAGAACCTGAGTTCATGGACACGACGAGTATAATGGCAGACTCAATTTAAGCGAAAAAACCCTTGAGTTATCCCCAGGGTTGCCATGAGGGATTTGGGGACCTTGACAACATTGAGCCCCTCTATGTCACTGCAGCAAATTGAAATACCTTTTCCTCGAGCCTCTGTTAGCCCATTGAATAGTCATCCCTTTTTCTCCCTCAAAGCTCCTCTGCTTATGCCTCTGGATCATCAAGTAGTACCCTAAATGGCACCTTTTTTGCGGGAAATCAGGTGATTACGTGGTTGAAAAGAATTATAACGAATATGTAATTGAAATGTAAGTACCGATACTACAAAACTTTAATGTAATTTATTTGGCCGTATGATGATGACCTTTAATTTGTGTGTAGAATTATAGAAGGCAAAATTCACCTACTTTGCTGAACCATGTTGGTGTTGAAATGTTCCTAAAGTGTGCTGTTGAGGATTTGTTCTCTGCCTTCCTCACATGCAAGCACGCGCACACACACACACACACACACACACGCACACACACACACACACACACACACGCACACACACACACACACACACACACGCACACACACACACACACACACACACGCACACACACACACACACACACACACACGCCATGATCTCACACAGCTCTGAACAGGCTGTTGTGATGGCAACCTGGTCACAAGCCTTTGGAAGCTGTACAGGGCTGATGTGATGGAGCTGTGATATGACGATGTACTCCAAATACGCGAGTGCAGAATCGATAATGACACTTCAAAATGAAGAGGCGCAGGTTTTCCTCTTCTTAGACTTTCTTGGGAAATTCAGCATTCTGGTTCAATCACTTGTCACATGAACAATAAGGTTAACTGTGCTGTAGAAATATCAGGCTGATATTCTATGAGAGAGCCTTTGTCCTACTCAGGTGGATAGAAAACACATCAACAGCCACTGAATTGATTGGTTTTTTTTTTTAATATTGGTAATGTATTCACGTTTCAGTATTATAGTCATATTAAAGTTAATTTCCTTATCTTATCTCGTGAATTTATACTTATATATTGATAAAAAATATTGACACTTTATTTGCATGATGAATGTAATTGTCTTCAGGTAAATATATCTTAACGGGTTTAACATATTTAGAACAGCTCGGTCCTCGCAGGTGGGCACCACGTTGGTCACCCCTAATCGAGACGGTATATGGAAGTGAGTTGGAAAAAATGAAGATAATTTCATGTTGTGGTGCTAGGTTGAACTTAAAAATTGTATGAAAGAGAAAAGAAAAGAGCTGCGATTGGCTAGCAATCAGTCCACAGTGTATACTCCACTTCTTGGTGAAGCACATCATTGACCTCAGTGAGGAAAAGCGAGACAGAGAATGGATGCACTGAGGATAAAGAAAAGAGTGAAGAGCTTGTCAAAATCCATAAAATGTTTCATTTATTGTTTTGATAAAATCTGTCTGTGTGGATTATGGATCAGCCGCTAAAACTAATTTAAACACAGAAGTACTGCATTCCAAAGATCAGCTATAAGATTTTGTCTGGGATCCAGAAATACATCTGCAATTTAAGCATTACAAGTAAAAATGGGAGCAATCCCTCCAAATTTAAGGAGACTTCAGACAACTTTCAACTAGAATTCCTCAGCCAGCATGGTACCAAAAAACAAGTAAGCAGGAAAGCTTTGGGGCATATTATAAATAGGGTGGAAAACAAATGAAGAGTAAATACGAGTTCTTGACTGTATTTTTTACAATGCATCACCCATGGTTGATGTCTCATCCAAAATAGATTCATCTTTATATGATACGAGAGCAGGTAGAGAACTGTGGTACAATTTCATCAGTATATGGTAGCACTTGAGCTATCTGCAAATATTTATAGAAGGCCGTAAACAGCCAGAGACACGAAGAACAGAAACAGCATTTGAAGTTCCACTATCTCAAATAAAGTAGGCACAAAACATTTTGGAAAACCTCTTCAAAAACAGATTAGATCAATTCATCGAAAAACATAAATTACTTTCTGATAGTGAGTATGGATCTAGAACTGTTCAACTTCATTAGCCTTGACAGAACTCATCTAAATCATTACGGACTCCGTATACAGGAAGAAAATTGCAGAAGATCTGTTTGGTGATCTAAATAAAGCATTTGCGAGGATGAATGTAATTTAATTGGTCATTAAATTGGAACACAATGGGATAAGAGGGGTACCATTGTAATGGATGAAGAGCTATTGAAAGAAATAAAAGCAGCAGTTTGTGAAGCTGGGTGAGTATAACTTAAAATACTTCGTCATGTCCCCCAAGGGTCAGTGTTGGGGCCACAATTGTTCATTCTATAAATCAGGGGTGAACACGAGTTCTGTGCAAAAATAAAAATAAAACCCTTTTCACATTTGTAAAAAAAAATGTGGAAATCTAACACCAATGAATTGATTTAATATGTCAAGAATAATCTTGAGAAAAGCAAAATATAAAATCATGACACCTTCACATTTGAAATTTTGAGGGCGACAGGACTCAATAAGAACATCTGCAGATGTGACTCTTTTATTCATTTTCATCTAAATGAACGGCTTTATCTGTAAAACGTAGCTGTTATCATTCCAGAGCCATGGCTGGCGGAAATGCAGAAAAGCATTTCGCAACTGCCATTAAGTCACGAAGAGGAGTGACTCTGTCTCTGACCACTGTCATATGTCGCAAGTCTTGTCTGTGGCGGTGAGCCTGTCCTCATTGTTCCTTGTTCTGTTAAGAGTAGTTCCTCAGTTTTGTACTTATGAAAAATGTTTTACACTAGCATTTTTGTTTGGCTTTTTGCAATAAATGTGTTTTATTATTATTATTATTATTATTATTATTATTATTATTATTATTAATCTTCTCTGCACTTCTGCCTTGCCTTGTCTGCTTCCTTACGCTTGAGTAACTCAGCTTTTTTTTTTTTTTTTTTGCCTCCAACCCACCACAGCTAACGGACACTTGAAATCTTGTAACTCCTTAGTTTTCTTTGACGATTCAGTCTGGGGTTATATAACATTGTGAATGAACGCATATCACACCATCAATAAGAGGAACAGTATAGGCAGAGTGTGGCAAGACTAACAGAGCTTGAAGGGATAAAATACCTCAGGCAACAACAGTATTTGGAGTGACACAATCTAAGTTTTGGTCTGTCTTGGTATACTGCAAGGTTTCTTTAACCATCATCACTCTTGAAGCAGCTTAACAACTTGCTCGACAATCCCGTTGACTCGGATGTGTACTTATTACACTCACATCCAATAAATTACAATCATGACTCACAATTACCCAGTAGCCCTTTGGGCGGCAATCCATATTGGCTCCGGTCTGGCAAAGCTTAGCGTGTGCGCTTTTGTGCATCCTGACCGCCTGTGTCTACTTTTGGATGAATGTGGATTGTGTGCCGAGCTGATGTTTGTTCTGTGTAATCCAAAGCAATCAGTGTTCAGTGGAGCTCGACGTCACATGGATGTCAGTTGATCATCTGTCTCTGTGCTAAACACCAGGACAGGAGGCACCCATCTGGCTTGAGGCAGCCGCATCTGGTCAATGATTATCATACGATACAACGTTGATTACCAGTGAGCTGATCACCAATACAAAATGTACATG